GGCCTCTACTAAAATTTGTATTCTTTTATAGAAACTATACTGTGGACATAAAGATTCATAGGATAATAGGGACTATTATTAAAAGTAATAAATTCCTATAAAATAAAAATGTTATAAAAGAAGCCCTTGAGAATGAAGTGATAGGAACTGTAAGGTAGAGTAGAAATTTATTCCATAAGAAAGTTAAAAATGAAATGCCATAGAAAGAAGTGGGAAGAAGGGTTTAAAATCAGGATCAAGATAGGCTTCATGGAAGAGCTTTAGACTATGCACAGAATGTTAACAAAGGAAGGAAACTATTCTACATAAAAAAGATTTAATAAGCAAGGTTAGAAGCAACACTACCTGAGGGAGGGGCCAGTTATGTTCAGAAATAAAGATGAATAGTGCAAAGTAAGGCTGATGATAGTTTGAGATCAGGAGGGCCTCAAATGCCCATTTCTGCTTCTCATCAACATCAGATAGAAGAATGGACTGTGCAAACCTTGTTCATTACATATTCCATCACTCTAATTTCAATCTGAATCTTACTCATTTTTTTTTTACTGTGGTAATCTCCAGGAAACCAAAAACTTAAAATGTGTTGTTCTAGAATTCCTTCTCTGAAACACCTCTATGAAATTCTGACTTGCCCTTTTTATTAATGAAGAAGCACCGTGAATCTTCTGAATATTAAACTCTTTTGAACCTGACCTGTACCAAGACAATTTTATATAGTTTTTCTTTCATTGCTCTGTCTAGGCACAGTTAACTGACAAAAATTTGCCTTTAAGGCATCCCTTTCACATGAACTGTACATCTAAGCCCTCATTATTTCCTCTAGAACAGGAAGTATAAACCTTTTAGAGATGAGTGCCCAGTTGCAACCCAAAACCGACTTATTTATCACCAAGTGCCAACACTGCAATTAATCCTGAACACTGAGGTTTTAGTTTAGAAAAACCAACTTATATATTAACATATTTTGTCTTAAAAGAAAAACATAATAACAGAGCTTTCAATGATACAAGCAGATTTTTATTGAAAGGCGAAAGTTTGTATTTGCCTTGTTTTTATGTGTTGTTCTCCAAAGCTCAGCTGTGGGGAATATGCTGGGGAGACTTGGCTAGCATGCCAACAGACAGGGCTCTGCATGCCCGCTGTGGTACACATGCCACAGGTCTATCACCACTGCTCTCGAAGCTGATTCCTGTAGTTTCCTCCATTTGTGACAGGATTTGCAAAAGCTCAAATGTGAAAAGCAGACCACAGATAAGATAATTGATATAAAGTAGTTCATATCATGGAACTATCATAACACCTACCTCACACCGTCCTTCAAAACACTCTCAGAAGCATGTATGTGAACCATACGGAACCTGCTGTTCTCTGACTTTGCAACTTTTACTACATCACACCTTTGGGCCCTATCTTTATTCTGTTTGTGTTCTTCCCCATTAGGCAGAAACTGTGTTCATTTGTGAAAAAATACATAATATAATGATACATTAAATATTATAATATAAGTATATATGCAGTGCTATGGGAAGGAAGGAGTTATCTAGGACAGCTTCTTCAAAGGCTGAAATGAAGCTTAATCCTGATCGACACTTAGGAACTTTTGGGGCGCAATAAAAATGAAAAAGGCATTCTAGCTCAAAAACAACATATGCTTGATTTAGAGGTACTATATTAAACAAAGGTGTCATAAGGAATTGCCAAGTGTTTCTGTATGAATAGAGGACTAGAATAAAGCTGGAGATAACTTTGTTCTTGTGGTTGTTTTTGTTTTGTTTTTTTTTTGGTAGCAGGATCGAACATGGGACCTTGGGATTATGAGGCAGGCTCGGCACCACTGAGCAAAATCCCCAGCCCTTGGAGATAACTATTTTTAAGGAAGCAAAGATGAGATTACAAAGAGAAACTGGGAACCATTTGAAGGTTTTGTGAAGAGAAAGAGCATGATCTCTGGTAATCATGTAGAATGAGCCTGGTTTGGGAATGAGGCACAAGACAGTTTTAGAGGGTTAAGCAATCGTGGATGTGTTAAATGATTAACCTAAAATAAGGATGTTAACAGTGTGGGTAATTAAGGGAGAGAACTAATTAAGGGAGAGAGCTAATTATGAGAAATCAACAAAATTTAATAACTAATTGGATATGGAGGAATTAGTAATATTTTACTGGCTTCTAGAACAGTCAAATAATCCAGGTATGATGGCCCATGCCTATAATCCCACCACTTGAGAAGATACAGGAGGATCACCGCGAATTTGAGGCTAACCTGGGCAACTCAGTGAGTTAAAGGTCAGCCTGCATTACAAAGCAAGATTTCCTGTCTCAAAAAAAATTAGAATAGTCAGGTAGATTGATTATGTTGTTGGGACTAGAAATACGGCCAGCTCCAAGCCACATCAAAATAAGTTCAAGATTACTTTATCTTCCAAACCTCTGTATTCAACCGTAACCACATTCTCCCTCCTTCTAGCCTTAAGTTTACTATTTGTCATCACAGTCTCACTCCAAATTTTCTAAGTAGCCTCCCAAACAAATTTCTCTATATCCCAACCCAGTAGAATCACACCTAAAGATTGATACCTTCTGAGGAATACACTGTTACATGATTTTATCATTTGGGGAACATCAGAATATACATCCTACATGATATAGCCTACTACACCCCTAAACTGCATGGTATAACCTATTATTGTTCCTATGCTACAAACCTGTACAGCTTGTCACTATGCTTAATACCACAGGTAATTTTGAAGCAATGTATAATATTTGTGCATCTAAATATATCTGAACAAAGAAAAGATACAATAAAAGTACTAGTTGATAGGAATTTTTCCACTGCATTATCATCTTATAGCATCATTTAACCAAAATGTTATGTGGTGCATGACTGTATCTCTCAATGTGCGCTCCTCAAACTACTTTCAAGAATCTCCTGTGGCTGGCTGAGTATGTAGCTCAGCAATGCAGCACCTACCTAGCAAGCACATGGCTGAGTTTGCTTCCTGGTACCAACAAAAAAAAAAAAAAAAAGAGAGAGAGAGAAAGAAACTCCTATCGAACTAGATTTAAAAAGTTTTGTTTTGTTTTGTTTTTTCTTATTTGTTTTTTGGTTTTGGGTTATTTTGGGTTTTTTGAGACAGGTTCTCACTCTGTAGTTCTGGCTGGCCTTGAACTATGTAGCACAGGCTGACCTCGAACTCACCTCACTACTCCTGTCTCAGCCACTCAAATGCTGGGATTACAGGAATACGCCACTATGCTTGTCTCAAAAGTACAAATACCTTGACCACATATTTCATATCTCATAAACCACAATCCTGGAGTGGGGCAGACATAATTTGCATTTTCATGTCCTGCCAAGTCTGAACTATTACTATAATCCAGCCTAAACACTTAACAAATGTATTTCTTAAACCTTGCTTTTATTGTATCACCACGTTGGTTCTCATTTTTCCTTTTTTTTTTTTTTT